TCATTGCAATGCATTATAATTGATTTGTATTAGTACCTTACCATATCTTGAATAATCCAAGAAGCTTATATTTGGTTCCATGGAACAGATTTATATATATTTTTAGAAATATTTTTGTCATTTATTTAATTTCTAACTATGTTATAAACCTGACATGATGTTACTGTTGGGGCTTTAAACAGTCAATGGTCTTCTTGTATGTTTATATATGTATTCACCCTTTCCTGTGCTATTTGTATACTTACCTATTTTGGACTTCTATCCTTTTATCTAGGATCATTTTATTTTATTTTAGAATATCTTTTAATAATTTTCATGGTATGTGACTATATTTTACACAGTTTTAAAGGGAGGTTAAGTCTGTACCAGCTATTTGTCATGGCTCTTTAGAAATAACAGTTTCTGTTTTTTGTTTTTAATTTGTAGTTTGACTTTTTGTCTGCTTTTACAAACTTTATTGGGAAATAATTTGTATTTAAAATGCAAAACTTTATTGAGGTATAATTTGTATCCATTTTAGGTACACAGTCTGGTATGTTTTGACAAATAAATATATCTGTGATTCTACCTCCACAATCAAGACAAAAACCTTTACAGTACAATGTGTAACCCGCCATGTTCCTTCTCATCAGTCCTCTACCACCCTAGGCTCCAGATGATAACTACTGATCTACTTTCTCTCACTATGGATTAGATTTGTCCTCTTTAGAGTTTCCTATGAATGGGATCATACAGTGTATACTCTCTTTTGTCTGACTTATTTTGTTTATCCTAATGTTTTTGATATTTATGTGTTTGTGTGTATCAGTAATCCTTTTGTCATTGAAAGGTAGTCTATTGTATAAATATCCCATAATTTATTACCTATTGCTTCCAGTTTGGGGACATTATTAATAAAGCTGCTACATAGATTCATTTGCAAATATTTGTTAGGCATATGATTCAAACTCTCTTGGGTAAACATTAGAAAATACCTTTGTCCAGCTGAATGGTAAGTTGAATGACAAATGTGTATTGACTATTTTAAAAAGTTGAGTTTTCTCGAAACTGACTGTATCATTTTATATATCTACCAGAAATGCATAGAAGTTCTTATTGATCTACATTCTCAAAAATATTAACATTAGGTTTTTAAATTTTGGTCATTTGATTATGTGTTTGTGGTTTTATTATGGCTGAATCTACATTTCACTAATGTTTAATAATGTTGAACAATTTTAAATCTTCCTGGTGGCCATTCAAATATCTTTCTTTGAGAAGTATGTGTTCAGATCATCTGCCTATTTCTCATTGGGTTGTTTTTAATTATTAAATTGTAGTATAATTTTAAATTTTTTTATTCAGTTCTTTACTGGGTATATGAATTACAAATATTTACCTCTCGTGTGTTTTTTGCTTACTCATTTACTTATTAATATCTTTGAAGAGCACAAGTTTCTAATTTTGATAAAGTTTAACTTTTGACTTATTTCTATGGTTCATGTTTTCTGTCCTCCTTAAGAAATCTATGTCTACCCCAAGTTTATGAAAATTTCCCTCCTACTTTTTTATCCTAGAAATATAATAGTTTTATCTTTTACATCTAGGTCAATAATCCCATTCAAGTTAATTTTTGTATATGAAGTGAAGTAATAGTCAAAATTTAGCTTTTACTTAGGGATAGCCAGACTTTTAGGCATCATTTGTTGAAAGTATCATACTTTTTTCTCCTCAAAATGCCTTTGCACTTTGGCTAAAAGTCAACAGACTGATATGCGCAGGTCTCTTTCTGGACTCTATATTCTGCTCCACTCATCAGTGTATTATCTCCATCTTTAAACATACAGGTTTTATGTCGGTGCTTACTGTGTGCCCACGTGTCTTCAGTGTGCACTTTTATTCCCCAAATCCTCAAGCAGCCCTTTTATTATTTAAATTAATTATTTTGACACTTGATTTTCTTTTAATTTCCTTCCAGAATCCCCTCAATGCTATTAAGATCTAACCTCTGCAGTGAAGAAGTTTAATAACATCAGGGAACTGAAGGGCAACAATGTGGCCCTTTCACCCCTTGCTATCTTTCATGACCATGACATCAAGAAGGAGCTGCTTTTCTAAGTACTGCCTCTGGACTTCTTTGAATTTACAACCTCTGAAAGGGTCTTTGAGTGTTATTGTGAGAAATAATTCTGTAAGGAAAGGTCCAATAACAGATTCGTGTAAATCTCCTGAAGGTTTACTTTCTTGGTAGGAGAGGTGGTAGTCATGTTTTCCTGATCTGACCCCTCTTTATGCTACTATTGAATAAGAGATGTTTCCTTCTCCATGTTAGGAAACAGATGTTTAACAGCTAGCACAAAACAAGAAAATAGCGACCAGTCTGCTTGTTCACTTAACTCTGTAGGCTTCTGCTGGTCCGTCTCCCAAGCTACACCTTCAACCAGATAATTTTACCTGAAACTTCCACAGGCACTCAACCCAAACATTTCCAAAGTCAGACATTTTCATTCTACCCTAAGAACATATCCCTGTTACTTTCTCTATTTTGGTAAGTTATATCACAATGGCCAAAGCGTATGAACTTCTCCATCAGCTTTGCTTCCTCACACAATGGGCTCCTATTCGCTATCCCCTTCCTCACTCCCAATTCCCAATTCCCTTCTCAACTTAGACTTTGGTATTTTTCTTTCTTGTTATACAATCAAAAAAGCTCTTTAGTTGATCTTGCTGCCCTAAAATTCACCTTTCTTCCATGTCTTCTATGCTATCATCAGTTACGTCTCTAAATAAAAATGCTATCATATTACCATTACATCATGCAGTATTTCAATAACTCTCCAGAACTTGCAAGATAAAAATCCTTCTTCCTAGTATTGTATTCAAGTTCCTTCATGATTTGTTTGATTTTCATGGCTCGTCATTTATGAATGCTATACATCTTGTATGCTGGGACTACAAACTTCTTTTTTTTTTTTTTCTTCCACACCAATAACAGACTTAAAGAGAGCCAAATCAAGAACGAACTTCCATTCACAATTGCCACAAAGAGAATAAAATACCTAGGAATACAACTAACAAGGAACGTAAAGGACCTCTTCAAGGAGAACTACAAGCCACTGCTCAACAAACTTCTTAAAAAGAGCTCTATGCCTGTTTATTTTTTTGTACTCATTCATTGTACATAGGGCATGATAGCCATTCAGTGCATATTTATTTATTGAATTGATAAATAGGTAGATTGAGCCAGGTTAAAATTAATTAACATAGACTGGTATTAAAACTGTATAGTATTTAACACATACACATATGTGTGAGTAAAACTAAAAAACTCTGAATAACATGTGTATTATAATAATGTCAGTATCCTAGTTGTGATATTATACTACAGTTTTCTAGCTGTTACCATTGGGGGAAACTGGGCAAGGTATAACAAGGATTCTCACGGTCTTGTTTCTTAGCACTTCACGAGATTCCAAAATTATTTCAATACTATTTTCAATTCAATAAAGACACTGACATTCATCTTATATATCATTATCAGTAATTTACTTTCAACAAGGTTGTGTGTGATACATCTTACTATGGTATTTTGAATCCTTTAGCATCTTTCCAAGTCAAAACTAATAATGGATCTCTCCTTAGGCTTCTATTGCACTTATAACAATGTAACCTGGACAATGCAAGATATTTTTCCCCTTGACAGACAATGACTTCGGTGAATGCAGAAACCTTGTCTGTTGTTTTTATGTACCTATTGTTTAGCATGTGACTGAACACCCAATAAATATCCCATAACATTTTAGGTAATGGTAAGTTAGATATAACAGCGTGATGTTACAGAGAATTGTAAGAATCAAAGTGAATCCAATGACTAAGTGATTTTAGTTTATCTGTACCTCGGTTTTTCCTTTGAGAAATGAGCTGACTTATATAATTGGCCCATACCAATCTGATTTGTTGGTGTGGAAACCAAAAATTTACCTCTTATATAGATCATTGTGTCATGGTTTATATAGGTCATGCTTACCAAGTTAGTATGTTTTTCTTCTCAATACATCTGTATAACTTACTTAGAGCAAGACATGGCAAGTTAGCACTGAAGGAACGTGCTTGCTAAAGCATCTCTGAAATGCAGCTGCTGCAAATCTGAGGAGTTTGAGAAATGCTTTTCAGTGCTAGCAGCTGCCTTCCAGTTTCTCTTTTTCTCTTCTTAGTATGCTAGGCAGAGTTGGCATGACCAGGATATATGTGGTATTTAAATTAAGCATTTATTTTGAGAATGTTTACACAGTTAGAGTGTAAAATTATATATATATACACATATATTTAAAATATATATGGATATATATTTAAAACATATATACATATATTTAAAATATGTATATATTTGGATGACAGATTATAAGGTTTATGTCCTGAGCTTTACCTACCCAAAGAGTGTCCAGAGTCCATTTCGTATACTTTAAGTCAAGTAAATGTGGCTTATAAACATAGTCTAATTACATGGAAAATGTTATCTAGTACTTTGTTCTAAGTTGGAGGATACTCAATTTTTTTTACTGCATATTTTTGTCTCTAAGATTATTTGATCGTTTTCATATATTTATTATTTACCCACTGGTAACTTACAATAATAATTTTTAAATTGCTGAAAGTGGAAACTTTGCATGGAGGATAAGAGATTGGCAGCTCCACAAATATGGAAGGGAAGTCTAGAGAGTTGTTATCAGCGACCACTACAATGTGTGCAGTGTATACAGTGCATAAATGGACAAATATTTACACCCAAAAATATTTCAGTCCAAAGTAAAGAAAAAATATTAAAGAGTTATATAGTTTTTATTGGCTCATGAATATGAATAAAGGCATTCTTCTTGAGAACCAAGCATTTTTGTCTAGTATTTTCTAAAGTGAAAATTTTATAATATGGATATTAAATTAGTAGTCATTTATGAATGTTATAATAAATTTTTCAATATATAAAGTTAAAAACATGAAAAGAGATTTTTATAATGCTTTGACTTAAATTACACAAAATAAACTGTAAGAATATCATGCTGAATAGCAAATTCAGGAAAATATTTATATAAGTTTTGAAAAACTACTTTCTGATTATTTACTTAATGGAATGTGAAAAGAATTGACTATTATTCTTTCTTTTAGATTATCACCATGAAATGGCAGCTTTAACTAAGATGGTAACAAACACTCTGCCGAAAATAATTAAAGATTAATTAACTGTCTGATTAAAAATTAAGATTGTATAATTGAAATGCTCTATTCAAGTATAATGCTCATGTTGAAGGTTTAATTACAAATAAAAAAAGAAAAGTTAGGTATATCTGGCCTTTCTTGATTATTTACCCTGAGTGAATACTGACCCATTTTTCAACTTCAACAGAGCTTTCTTTACCTCCTTGTTTCTCAGGGTGTACACAACAGGGTTGAGAAGGGGAGTCAGCACAGTGTAGAAAACAGCCACAGCCCCATCCACGGCATCCCTGGAGCCTGGCCTCAGGTAAATGAAAAGACCAGGGCCAAAGAAGCAAAGGACCACAGTACAGTGAGAGGCACAGGTCTGAAAGGCTCTGCGTCTTCCTTCTGAAGTAGGGATCTGCAGCATGGAGCAGACGATGGACACGTAGGACAGCACTATCAGGAGGAAGCAGCCCGAGGCCACTACCCCAATGTTCACAAAAATGACCATCTCGTTGGCTGAGGTGTCTGCACAGGACAGTTTCAGGATGGGTGGTGCGTCACAGAAGTAGTGCTGGATCTGGTTAGGTCCACAGTAGGGTAAATGGAAAGTCAATTTGGTCTGGACAGCAGAGTGCAGAGAGCCACTGAGCCAAGTGCCGGTGGCCAGGAGGGCACACGTGCTCCCACTCATCATGCTGGTGTACCTGAGTGGGTAACTGATGGCCAGGTAGCGATCATAGGACATGACTGTGTAGAGGAAACATTCGGTGCTCCCCAGGAATTGGAAAAAGTAGAGCTGGGCCACGCAGCTGTGGAAGGAGATAGCCCTGCCACTTGGGGACACCAAGGTCATCAGCATTTTGGGCACCGTGACAGTAGAGAACCACATGTCAATGAAGGACAGGTTGGTGAGGAAGTAGTACATGGGGGTGTGGAGGTGAGAATCCATCCTGATCACCAGCAGGATGAGGAGGTTCCCTAGCACAGTGAGCACAAAAACCACCAGGAAGATTCCAAAGAGGGGGGCATCCAGCACTGGGACATGGGGAAGACCCATGAGGATGAACGCTGTCACGAGGCTGGCATTTGACATTTCTTCTCATATATGGGGCTCTGTTCTTACAGAAGAGAAGGGAGACAGCATTTACTGAGAGCATGTTTTATATGAAATATGGCAACTACATTTTTCTGATGGAGAACACTAGGGTTAAATTATGTTTTGTATCTTATAAATTCCTTTTGCTTCAGTATCGGTCTTTGAGGAGAAATAGCACTTTCTTATCCCAGTACCAGAGTGAACCAAATACAAATGAGGAAGAAATTTATATAAAATCAGCCGAATTTTAAAAAGAAGAACAAATTTGTGTGATATTGTGCTGTAGCTGGCCTAGAGTTAGAGCCTGAACAACATCATTTTATAAAAGAAAAAGCTGTTTTTTAAAATGAATTGTAATGGCTGCCCCATTCTCCTCACAATAACTGCTAGCCTTGGCTACTGCTGCTAGCAAACTAGCCACTATGTAAAGCTGCTTACCTTTTCTTATCAGTAACTGCTAGAATTGCTAGCCTTTGCTTACCGGCAATTGCCAGACTAAGCAGCCCAAACTAATGCCGTCTTGGCCCCTGCAACTTGTAATAAGTAACTAAGGTCTGTGATTTCCACCTTACTCAGATCATGTGTAAACAAATGTTTATCTTGACTTCTGTAAAACACTTAAGTAACAAACGGAATGACAAGAGTCCCCTGGCCCTCGGAATATCCGGAGCCCTCGTCTCCACCCAGGAGATGATTTACAGAATCCACTAGCCCTCGGAATGTCTGAAACCTTTTCATCCCCATCCCCGTTCCTCACCCCCACTCCCAAGGTGGTTTTTCGGGTATAAAAAGTCTTGGCACCCTCCTTTCGACGCCACAGGTTGGAGAGACGTGAGTCCTCTGTGGTCGCCGGCATAATAAATGACCCTGCAATCTGGCATACTTTTGTCTTGGTGCTTTCTACGCTCGGTCCAGCATGACATTTGTATTCTATTTTCTGTAGTATTGGAAAAGATACTCAAATTAGCAACACTTCAGTGCAGGCAAGCTCTTCCCGGGGATAAGCCTTTGTTCAAGTGTCTCTCTTTTCTCTCAAACACACACATAGGTATAGATATACACGTACACACATATTCCCTCTCTCTCTCTCTCACACACACACACACACACTGTCACACTTACAGATTCAGTCTCTTTGATCATTAGAGAATTTCCATTACAAATACAAATTTCTAAAGCAGTCTTCATTCTGGATGGCTGGGAGAAAACTGCCTTCTCAGAGCTTTCCGGCCGGCTGCAGAACTAAAGCAGGATTCCAGCAATGGTCTAGCATTAAGAGGAGCCGGTCTTCTGTGCCTTTGTTTTACGCTAGATCAGGGGTCCTCACACCCCAGGTCAGGGACTGGTATTGGTCCATGGTCTGTTAGGAACCAGTCCTCACAGCAGGAGGTGAGCAGCCAGCAGGCCAACATTACCACCTGAATTCCACCTCCTGTCACATCAGCAGGGTATTCTATTGTCACAGGAGTGGGAACCCTGCTGTGAACCGCACATGCCAGGAATTTAGGTTGTGTGCTCCTTAAGAGAATCTAACAAACATCCCCCGCCTCCCCATCCCAGCCTCATCCCAGTCCATGCAAAAATTGTCTTCCACGAAACCAGAAACTGGTCCCTAGTGCCACAAATGTTGGGGACCACTGCCCTTGATCATACCTTCCTGGTCACATGCAAAGTTTGACCCCAAACTAATTCAATAATGAACAATATCATTATTTTCTTTAACTTCTCTTATTCTGTATCTTTTTCTATTTATACATTTTTTATTATTTATTTCTTCAGAATTTTAGGTAATTAAGACTTCTCTTTCTAAAGTAGGATCAAATAATCTCACCATATATTCTGAGATGGCCAAGAAGAATTGAACCTGCTTAAGTAGTAAGAAAGACTAAACTTTCTCTGATGTTTGAGTTTCAGGACTGAATTAAAATAATAATGTAGTTATGATAAAAATACAAATGCCCTTCCAAAAATAAAAAAGTCTATTTTATTTTCATTATATCTAAGATTTCTATTATTTCAAATCTCAGACTCAAAGTTTTTCTTTTTTCTTTAACATATGGACACAATGTCCAAGATATATTTTCAAGGTAAAATAAATTAAAAGTTATAAAGAAACATAGGGAAATGTGGTTAAAGACCTGGACCTCTCTGATAGAAAAGAAGTGTTTCTTCATTAATTTCTAAAATACTTCTGTCATACATCAGCAATACATTTTTATTTTTAGGTCTATGCCAGAAGCAGACTTTTCCATCATGGAATTCACCTGAAACTGAGTTGGAGACTCAGAGCTGCAATGCTAAGGTTTATAGAGAATGCATTTCATTGATTTATGGTTTCATAAAATTTTTAGTCTTTTACAAAACCACAAAAAGTTGGCTCTGTAAGTCATGACGAAGATAATCTAGCTGCAGTGGCCAAATCCGACGAGCAATGAAGAGAATCAAAACTATGACCATAAATACATTGCAATCACCTCCCCTCAAAAAGTGTCTAATAATGAAAAATGCTGAAGTGTTGCCAATTTTTGCTACTTACCAATATTACAAGTAGGTTTTGGATCATAAAACAAAATTCAAGATTTAAAGAAAATGTCAGTTCTTGATGAGTGGTGTAATTTTTCTTTTCTTGCAAAGATGAAACCACAGAAGAAACTCTTTTTAAATAAAACTTAATATTAGTTTGATATCTCAGGAGATTCTCCCTTAGCCCTAGAGTCCTCATGAATAAAGATAATGTTTTGATATAATGATAAACATTTGGATTTTTTCCCAAAAAGCATCTATTAAAGTTGATTCTGCTTTTGATGGCCGTCATTCCACAAATCTTTTTATTTAGCCAAAAATCTGCTTCTAAAATAAGTAACTATGACACTCTGGATTTAAAAATTCCTTGTGCAGGAAATGATTTTTTTACTATTTCTTCTTTAAATTTAAAAATAGAAAATATGGGCTTTAGTTATAAAGGAGATAATTATCTGAAGAGGTGCATAGTCTCTCCGATAAATCTTTAACTTTGTAGTAAGTCACGAAAAGGAACTCTGGATCTTCTGTGCTCCAGGGATGATCAGAGTATTACTCCCTGTAGATAAACTTCCTAATGAAACTTCCTGCCTCTGGGGCTTGGCAGGCTCTTTTTGAGCAAGTTCCTGGCTGAGGATGGATGCTAGTTAAGATACGTTCTGTTCTTCTCAGAGGCTTTGCCTTTGTGCTTTCATATCTTCAAAGTTTTAAAACATATTTAAATTTTCTGTGAAATTTGCTTTTATTTTTTAGCTTGAATTAATACAATTAGGGAGAATGAAGGTATACTTTTCTTCCATAATTAATATGTATATCTTAGTTATTAGGAAAAGTTTGTATGAAAACAACAAGAAAAACTGGTCTAATGTAGATGCCCAAAGCACTATTAGTTTTGGAGGACAGTTGCAGTTTCGTGAGCCTTTTATGCTAATAGGATGCTCTCATCTCTATATGGAAAGTATAGTCCTCTATGGAATGGAATTTGAAGAACTAAATTCCCTGATTTAATATTTTTTTCCAATTAAATGATCAAATTAACCGATTTTCTGACATTGGTTATCCATTTAGCATAAGGCATATTTAATCAATGTAAAATCTCAATACTATTTCTTTTTTTATTTGTTTTTTAATATTTTATTTTCACATTAACAATCAGATTTGCTTCAGCCTCAAAGAGTATGTTTATATAAAATTAAATGAGTGGTGGTAGTGAACTGAACTTTTTTCTTTCAAAATCGGAAAAGCGTTAACAGGGTTGTAATATATATCCAAAGGATTATAAAACATTCCATTATAAAGACACATATACTGTTACTGTGACACTGTTTACAATAGCAAAGACTTGGAACCAACCCAAATGCCCATCAATGATAGACTGGATAAAGAAAATGTGGCACATATACACCATGGAATACTATGCAGCCATGAAAAAGGATGAGTTCATGCCCTTTGCAGGGATATGGATGAAACTGGAAACACATTCTCAGAAAACTGACACAAGAACAGAAAAGTAAATGCTATATGTTCACAGTCATAAGTAGGTGTTGAACAATGAGAACACATGGACAGAGGGAAGGGAACATCCCGTAATACTATTTCAATAATTACTTATAATTTAGCCCCAGTTACATTTCAAAATTTCTTTATCAAATATGTGCTATCAATTTGTGTTAATTGAAACTTCTATCCAACTTATTGTACTTATCTTTATGAATACTATTCACCTGTGTTTTCAGTTTAACTTATCAATTTTCTTAGATTATACAGGTAAACAGTTATATGATCTTTATAAAATGACACTTTTGTCTTTCTTTCCAAAAGTAAATATTCATTATCTTTCTTTTCTGTTTTGCTGCATTGGTAGAAAACGCTACTGTCTGCCACCTAACTATGATTTAGGAATTACTTAGATCTTGTGAGTGCTGCACAACTTAACTGTGCCTTTTTCCAGGAAGAGGAGGTCAATAGTAACATTTGCTGAGTTTTAACTTCTTCAAGAATAAGAAAGGAATATCCATCATTTTTGGCTGTTTCACTAAAACCCAATGGGATTCTGTGTGATAGATGAGCAAGAATTTTTGAACATTATCAAGAATTCTACATTGATATTTCGTTGCACATGAAAAAAGGCACAGCTGAATCCACGCACACAGTCTGGTGACTTGTTGGTACTCTAACAAAGACTAGAGAAGAGTAGAAGCCCAGGCACTCCTATTTACCATCCATATTTCTCACTGTGCCTCCTCTGCCACTGAGCCATTTCTCTATTTTGTTTCACAATTACTTTGACTTATTCAAAGTCCTTTGCATTTCCATATAAATTTTACACATTAAAAAATCATTAATTTACACACACAAAAAAATCTGCGGTGATTTTGATTAGAATTGAATTCAATCTATCAATCCATTTGGGAGAATCCATATCTTAATAACACTGTATTATGTTTGATCATAAATACTGTTGATCCCTTTTGTTT